CCACATTATCTAACATCACACATTCACATTGCACACAAACTTCACTGCCACATACATATTACCACAAACAAACAAGCACAGACGAACACCATCCTCATCAGTGAAAACAACAACAGTAAGAGTATGCTGACACATATTATCGTTGTTAGAATATAAATAAGGCTGCCTGTTTTAATCCATGACAACATTATTATAAACGTTACCATACAACTCACATAATTATCAATTTACGGTTGTCATTTACTTATTCCTTGCAATGATTCATATTTGACCACATTGTTCCACATTTGAAAACAGTGACGAGTTGTTTGTGACACGTTTCATCTCAAATCTTAAACATGTCGATGTCAGACATTGAAAATTTTCATACATACATCGGACTTATGTACATAATGTATAGTAACCACGAAATTATAATATAAGGTAATTCCTGGAGTTCTAGTGAGAAGTCGTGGCCAGTGGAGCTAATCTATGTCAGGTAGAGACAGGTATCTACCTCAGTACATTGGAAGTTGGTCGCGCAATTTCGTGGATTGGTCGAGGTTAGACATTAACACCGTTGGATGCCAGCTCGGTGGTTTATCGGTTAAGGGCTCTGGCTCGAGACTGGTAGGTCCTGGGTTCGAATCTCGCAAGTGGGGCGTCGTGGATGTGCACTGCTGAGGAGTCCCATAATAAGACGAAACGCCTGTCCAGTGCTTCCAGGTATTCGATGGTGGTCTAGCTTCAATTGACTCATGATCTTAACTATAAAATTACTAAATCTCCACAAAAACGCCTTTGTTATAAGTATTTGTGTTTAAAACTTACAATAATCATCGTGATTTGGACTCATTTCTGATGCTCGTTTATAATTTTCTGGTAAAAGTGGTAACATAGATATTCGTTTTAATGAACTATTCGCCAAAATATTTCATGAATACAACGAAATGCGACATTTTTTGATTAATAGTAAGCATTTCATGAAACGGGAATTCAATTTATAGAGTTACCACTAGATCTCTGCCACAACCAGATGGTGATCGGAAGTTGTTTCAGCTCCTCTCATGGTTCTCACATCTTCCGTTTACCTTCTGAACTCTTCAGTGATAAAAGTGTGATCGATTTTGCTCCAGTGAGACCCATACAGATTTGTGCATGCGTTTGTGTGGGAATATTGTGTCACCTGTAAACAAATTGTTGATTGAACATATATTAGCGAATTTCTCCACATTCTCGTTCCCTTTTCCTAGTCCATGTCGTCAAATATTATCTTCATAATCATTGTCTAGGTCTAGGTCTTCAATTAGGATAGTCCTGTCCTCTTCGCTACGATTGATTGCAACCTCTCACAGAACTGATCCGTATCGTTGTCGTTGCTATCATTGGTTGTTGCATAACATTTAGATAATATTCATTGTAATTCCCTCCCTCTTTGTTTTCAAACATACAGTAGTGATTCTGGATCGATGAGATTCCCATCCAATTGGTGCTTTTCGTGCTTTATTGGATGGTATCAGAGCAACTGACTGTGTGTGTATTGCATTTACGTCTTCGTGATTACAATACAGAAGCATATACCTCAATCTAATAATTCCGGTCCACAATAAGTGTAACGAGTTCCACCTCTCATTACCACAACAATTAGACTGGCACTCCTGGTCTGATACATTGTCCGGACAAATTTTAAATGGCTTCTACATTTTTTACTTGGTTGACATTCTTAAGAGCAAAACCATTTCATCGAGAACGGAGCTACTGACATCAAGACCATCACTCCTCCTTTACATTACCTTTGAAACAGCAATGACCCTGGAACAACTACAAGCCGGGTTATTCCTAGCTTAACTATAAAATAGTATTGAAATTTGAGTCGTGTAGAAATAACATCAATCCTCAATATTACACGGTATATGTTGATGTGATACAGTTCCATGAATTGGGCACACATCTACCTCAGTGGATACATCAACGCTAAAATTTACTTCACTCTACCTATCTCGAAATTATCTATTTGGTAAAATCGTGGACAAACTGTATATCAGTGAATATGAGTGAATGCGAGTTTTTCAAAATTAAATCCGACTTGTCACCGGTATTCACTTGTTATAAATACGAAATACAAACAAAATGTACCGACCCACCAGAGTACGTCTGCAGTAAATCACGATCATTTGGAATGATATCTGTAATTAATAAAAAGTACTCGAGTATTAGTCTTCAGATCTGAAGTGGTGTTGTACTTCAGTAAAATATTACTCAATCATTCTATAGCACTAATTTTAATGTGTTTAACAATTGTAATTCATCTCAAGAATCAAGCCATATAACATGTTTGCTAGCTTCTACACAGTGCATTTAAAATATAATCCATTTACAAATCGTTTGTTCAAACGCAAACATGACATTTTGTATGGTATTATTGGTAAAGTCATATGCTTGTTTTCATTTATTTATTCCCCGCTATTTCGTAAACCAAGCAGTTCAAGTGCTGTTGCGAAAATATACAGTTCTTAAGGTTCGTACAAAGAACGATCACCTTACTTGGAACAGAGACAACTGACCAAGTATCTCCAATCAACTCTGTCTTGGTAACGTCTCTTCAGCTTATGCTAATTACTACTCATCACTCTTATTCATGATTCCTTGTTGACTGGTTAACATTCACAAACGATGAAAGGTTATTCTTTCTCGTCGAAAGATTTACAGCACATTAATTGACATTTAACAAATAGCAGTCACCTAATAATGATGGTTGTCAAAATGGACAAGTTTGAGTTCCATACGATAATTTAATACAGAACAAAGTGACAGTTCTTCTGAACTTCTCGTCTTCCCTTGTTCAGACTGTGCTCAATCAGTTACACTCACTGCAGACAATGCCTGACTGTTAGCTATCAATTGCATTGTTATCCAAATATCATTCACTGTCTCCCACCTAGACCACTAATTCTATTCACTTCAACTCCCAGGACACAGTTTTAATAGTTTAAATTACATGTTGAGCGAAGTTGTTAGTGAGTTGTTATTATTTATATTTTATTAAATATTGAGAATAGATAAATACATATCTATACATGTAAACCTACTTTTGAAGAGATCTAAAATCCATTCTGCTGCATACTTATTTTCTAGCCTGATTATTCCTAATAAACCCAAAAACAGTACAACAATATCAACAATATGTGACGAACGAATGAAAATCGAAGGCAGTTTTTCGGCATGTTGATATGCATTTTTATTTGTTACTCAGCATGCCGAATGAAAATGTAAAAGCTGAGAAGAAACCCTGTTTATCGTTCAAATACGGTATCTGGACTAAATATTAAACACTGAAGAATGTGACATAGAACAATATTATAATACTTTTATTATCATACAACAGAACGTTCTTAGTATGTGCTTGCCTACATTATTATTTTTTTAATTGTGATCGTGAACAGATTGATGTTAGACTACCACTGAAAACCTGGGAGCCGTGAACTGCTGTACCATCCTATTTCGGCACTCGATAGCAGTGATCATCCACTATCCCTATCGCGAGATTCTGAACCCAGGCCTTCGGTCTCCGCGCAAACACTTGACCTCTAGACAACTGAGCCGGCATCTAAAGGTGTTAGTGTATAACCTCAATCAATGGGACGAAACGACCATACAGTTCTTCTAGGCTTTCAATGGTAATCTGATATCAATCAGTTCATGATCTCAAAGAAAAGTAGAACGTCTTACTGTTTCTGTGCAGAATAATAAAAATGATGAAAAAACTATTATGAGTCATCAGTTAAGTACTAAGCCTCAAAATAGATTTTAGGCAACAATATATAACTCACCGTCTCGGAATTGTTTTTCAGTAGTGTTTGTCGCATATAAAACTAGTTCCTCTATATAAACGTATTAACGAAAAAAAACCGGAAGGGGTTTTCGTAGATATTAGAGTAATTTTGATAATTGAGATCATGAGTCGATTGAAGCTCGACTGCGCAGTGCTGAGGAGACCTAGAATTCGGCTGTCCAGTGGCTCCAGATTTGCCCTGGTGGTCTAGCTTCAATTCACTGATAATCTCAACTAATATGAAGAAATTACGATGATTTCACATTATTAGCTTATGTATATACACTGATATGCTAACTTGAATACTTTCCTCTCAATACAACTTATCTAAACTTTTTGAGATACTTACTTTTTTCCCTTTCAACGGTTTTAATTGCTTCGGTGTACTTATTTAGTTTGAAGTATGCATCTATGTCGTATGAAGAATATGTTATATAATAGACATTTTTGAATTAGGAAGTTAAATTTCAAATGTATGTAAATATTTCATCAATGAATTGCTGCTCTAGAACGACCGGTGGATAATGTGAATGGTAGACGAATTGTGATGAGTATATATATATATATATTTATAAATTTGTAGATATGTGCCCAACTTATGGAACAGTATCACTTCAACACATACAGTGTAATATTGAGGATTGATTTTGATTGTACACAACTGAAATTTCTATACTATTTTGAGGTTAAACTAAGAATAACCCTGCATGTGGTTATTTGACGGTCGCTGTTGCTATAATGTCAATGTATATATCATCTAGCTACATATCAGATGTCTCATGTATACCGTGCTTCCCTCCACATGTCGACGTCTTCTTAGTCCAATCGATCATCATATTGCCCATCAAATTATAAATGTATCTCAACTGTCGAAATTTGTAAAAATACAACTTGAGTATATTCAAATATTAGTAACTAATGAATGTTTCATTCATTTTAAGCATGAGTTTACCAAAACATTCAAGATTATTGGTTATCTTACCTTCGAGTTCTAAACTCGTATTATCTGCTGTTACCAGATATTGTACTCCTAAAAGTTGAAAATCAATCGATATCTACCATGCAACATAAATTTATTAATATAAATGGAAAGAAGAACGAGAAAAGTCAATGCCAAGTAAACAATGTCCAGTTACCAATGATTTTCTAGTTAAATTGTGAACAATCAATTGATATTTGACTGATCCAGTTACCATTTACTTATCATCATCATCATCATCATCATCATCATCATCATCATCATCATCATCATCATCATCATCATCATCATCATCATCATCATCATCATCATCATCATCATCATCATCATCATCATCATCATCATCATCATCATCATCATCATCATCATCATCATCATCATCATCATCATCATCATCATCATCATCATCATCATCATCATCATCATCATCATCATCATCATCATCATCATCGTCAATCTTTCGATAAATAGTTATACAGAAGCAGTCATTGATAATGTAATCTGATTTCGAATGTTTTCATGTCTGTGTTATAGAAGTAAACTGATTCATTCATTCTATATTAAATATAATGAATAGTTTGATAAGTTTCTTGACAACCGACATGTTAAAACTGAGACATCTGTCAGTTCAGCATTGTGCTTACTTATAATAACATATATATATTAAAAATGTTTGATTCATAAAGTATTTCAAATAATTTTCACTTGTGGAATCCAACATCATGCATATTTCGTCCTAGATGATACTCGTCAGTTGGATATATATTCACATGTCAGAGTTGATCTTCATTCTGGAACTCATACTCAGTATCGATCTCTTCAAACATCATCACATTATGCATTTAGTTATAGTTATAAATTGTGTGAGTGTATCATCAGCATTGATTAGAGTTTAGGGCAGAAACTATTACCCATATTATACAATTGAAATCAAAGTGGAAGTGAATGTTGTTCACTTACCAAGAATATATATAGTGAGAACCAATGCTTGCACAAAACAGGTTTTCATTTGTGTTTTCGAAACAATCTTTTCACAACTTGTAGTTTCACAGTAATTTATACATATTTATATATGAAGCAAACGTGTATAACCGGAGATGAGAAAATAAATCAGTGTGAACTGTAGAACGAATGCTATTCTCATGTTTCTCAAGTAGTTTAACCTGAAACATTATTGTTGAGAAACACAAGAAAATTAGTTACCAATTAATATTTCCAGTTGTATGTTTAAAACTAAACAGGGGGTGGTTGGTAAGGGTATTAATATTATGTCCGAAACATACAAACTACATATTAATATTATTAGGACAATGTATTTTCGAAAAACGTACATCACGTTCATATAGAAACTTGTAATGATATAGATGAGAGAACAGTTTCTGGGAAAGAAGATAACAGAGCATTTTCTAGTTCACATAATTACACAGATGTAAAAATCATAGAATAGTTATATTTTATTTTCAAGTTTTTCATCAATTGTCCTTTACATTCTATATGAACCGTTTACTTCTTAACTCCTTACGATTTTCCCTTCTTTTCCCCTCAATTCAATTTTCTCAATCTATTTTCAGCAAACTTTCCACTTCTTATCATTCCTACATATAACTCATATCTGTCAATTTAAGTAATGCGCATCACACTCGTTCCGCCTCCTAATAAGCTGTTCTCGTAGTCGTTCCGGCAGCTTTACCTCTGTCTTCTATGTCACTGTTTGCGACTCGCCCACATTGTTCCACTGAAATTATCATTACATCAAACTAGTGTTAACGCACTTCTGCTTGTCTACTTAACACGTCGTGTAAACAGCTGTATTCAATCCTTCCAGTTAGATGTAGAGGTCTTCACAACATAATCAATCATCAGTCAATCAAACATTCAGCATGCGAAATAACAAAGAAAAATGCATATCAACATGCCGAAAAACTGTCTTCGATTTTCATCTGTTCGTCACATCATTTCTCTTCGACTATGGTGGTCCAGATATTCCACTACTTCTCCTTAGGCTGTTTACTCTCTCTGTGGAATCAGGTTATTACACTGACTGTTGGAAAATCGTGTACATAATGGCAGTTTACGAATCTGGAGATAATACTGACATGAACATCTACTCAGATATAGGCCTACTGCCGTCTTACCATGGAAACAGTAAACAATGGATCAAAACATTGCTTGCCATCAGTGGTCGAAAACATAATAATATTTCAGACCATTCAGTTTGTGGTTATTTCAGAAACTCAACAGGAAACCGTCAATCTATGTGAATTGTTTCAAAATACCCATGAAATATATTCATGATTAAAGGAGCGTAACCTGTTGAAAATTGTGTATTCAATGAGACTTTGTAGTCTACCATTTTTGGAGTCATGAGAAAGCATTTGGATTTCTCTGTTGCAAAATGCGTAATCTGAATGGAGTGCTTGAATAAAACAGTCAACCATAAGTTTATTGATTTATATCCGGATTGTGATAAGATGTGACATCCAGAACACCAATTTCATCATACGAGTGAGTCGTCAGTTAATTGTATGATAAAGTGTACTTAGCACCCTGATTGTCAAATCGGTAATGAATATCCTCAATGATTGTACTAATTCAAATTGTGTAACTATTTGTGAAATTCTCCTCTATAATGAATACCAACAATAATGTATAATGATTAATGAAATATTTGAATAGTATTTGGTGTTAAGTTGTAAATTCTGCTGTTTCACTTATGCAGACGATCTCACAAGTTTACGATTCAAATACACCAAAACCCATCAAACATATTGAAACAACATCGGGTGTCACTGAAGTTCAGGTTGCAGAAAACCTTAGGGAAACGTCCAAAGAAACTGCTCAACACTCGGTAAATACTTGATGTTTAGTAATATATGTTACGTCATTATTTTTCTTTAGAATATAACTACCGAAACAATCGAAGGCAATAAACATAAGAAATCATCTCGGTACTTGTACATTGTGATTCCTCTGACCATCTGTTTACTTCTTATACGTATCGGCTTCCTATCTGGAACGAGGAATAGTAAGTGATTATCAGAAATATATTATAACCTGCTTTTGTTATTCTGTCCAACTTGCTCCCACTTCTTATGGAATTAGAAAACTTTAGAGTTAATAATTAATCTCAGTAATTTGGACAATTTCCTTATGGAACTATGAATATTCTAATGCTTGTTTACGTAATAACTGATGTATTCCTGTTGATAAAATTAAAAACACGGTTTTTATTGTTTGCTTAATTGTGTTCTTTTAATCGAAAACGACTTGTTTAACGAGAGTTCCACATTTTATTTTTAAATGAGTAGTGTGTGTAAACGTGATTTCCTAATCAATATAATCAATAATGAGTCCATTGTGAATGTTCATCTCAATGACTTCCCACTACTGGGAATTATCATTTGGAATTAGGTACAGTTAATGTTTTATACTGGACTGACATAATACACTCTCAATAAACACAATTAGGCTTCAAACAAGATCACGATGCTTTGAACAAACAGTTGATAGTTGCGTATGTGAAAAGATAACAAATCAGCATTGCATATTGAATTCCAGGTTTACAAGGAACACACTCCACAGTTGGAGCTGAAGAAGTTTTCAGTCAACTTTATCGTTCTGAAGTGCGCTGCAAAGATGATTTAAAAAATGTTAGTCCACACATTCCTAAAGATAAACTGCAATCAGATTCGAAAACAGTTGTCATTCTTTATGGTCTACTGAAACAATTTGGTTTATGTGGTTCGCCAGACATAATTAAGAAAGAGATGAAGAGCACAATCAGTGAACGGACAGTAGATGAATTATGCAAATATGATTTAGGTATTTGCGTTTAGTACGAAATATTGTTTGACCAGAGAATTATTGCTCTGTGCTCTCCCCATCTATCCCTCTTATAAACTATCTATCTCTTATAAATGAGACCTCTTGCGCTCACTGATCAAACTCTCAGACTGGGATGAATTATTCTCATGTATTAGTCTCACAGATTCCACCAACATATTCTATCTGATTGTTAACTATTGTCTAGATTCCTGTGCACCAATTAGAACGTACAGGATTAGTAATCACTACGAATTATATATACCAGCTAAATATCGTAATGAACTAAGACGCCTACAGAAACGTTATTTTAAATCAAACGACTTCACAGCAGTTGCACAAACAAAAGTAACTTTTAACCAAATTAAAGTGAAACATAGGTTGAAAGCCATGAATGAAGAGCTATTAGCACTTAATAGTAGTTCAAAAGTTCAAAACCTTATTCTCCTTTTCGATAAACGTGCTAAATCAACTCAATATGTTGATATATCATGCATCCTGCATAATAACAGTTTTAGATACGACTCTAAAATTATGGCAGACCTTTTCAGTGATAATTTTGCAAACGGCAAAGAATCCATAAATGGCGCTGTTTCAAGAGTTATATGCGTGAGTAGAAACTCAGTAAAATCTATTTTCTTCACAGGCCTGAAAATTAGTAAGGCCTTCAATAGCCTCATGGTTTCGAGAGCTCACGGAGCAGACGGGATTTCATCAATTCTCTACAAGTATTGTGGTACAGCTATTCCCCTTCTTCTCCTTAAGCTGTTTACTCTCTCTATGGAACCAGGTTCTTGCACTGACTGTTGGTAAACCGCGTACTTCATATCGCTTTACAAATCTGGAGATAAGACTGACATGAACAATTATCAGTCGATATATATTACTCCAGTTATCTCAGGATTATGGAAAAAATTATTAGTGACAAACTATCCAACTATTTATTGACTGAAAAATTTATCGCTGATACGAAACATGGATTTTTTAAAAATCGATCTTGCATGACATGTCACTTTGATTTCCTTAATTTAGTTTATCCTCTTCTTAGTCAAGGGCATCTAGTATTAACGCTATATCTGGACATTTCTAAGGCCTTCGACACGGTCAACCACCGACTTCTCATAGGTAAACTCTCATCTTATGGGGTCCAAAACCCATTGCTTGTTTGGTTTGATTCCTTCCTTATGTAAGCAGATGAAGTGGAGACCTTTTTAACAATGAACCACGTATTTTAATGTACAAAGTTTGTGTTCAACCACTCCTTGAATACTGCGCATTTATTCTTAGTAGTGAGCATATAAAGGATAAATTAAGGCTGGAATCAGTACAGAGACGATTTGCACTTCGTATCCACGGAACTGATTGTACCATGACTTATAATTCTAGGTGTAATAATCTTGAGGCCGATCCTTTATGGAAGATGAGACTCAAACTGAATGATAGGAACTTTAAATGTTTAATCACTTACTTGCTGTCACTTTTCACTAAAAATGTCCCTAGCAACTTTGATTTATTTGAATAATATCTAACATGAACAGTGGTAAACCTGAAAGACATATTTTGGCAATCATTGTTTTGTTGTTCCGCGTTCTCTGTTTCAATTTTACTTTCTCTAGTTGTAGATAATTATCAATAATTCGTCCAC